GGCTTTTTTTCTTTTTGCTTATGTGGTGCTGAGGAATCGAACCCAGGGCCTCATGCATGCAAGGCAAGCGCTCTACCACTGAGCCACCTTCCCAGCCTGAAAGGCACATTTTTCTTCTCCAAAGATTTTCTTTTTCTGGCTGCTATTTTATTTTGGATTTAAATTTGGTTTTTCTATTTACCTGTGTTATTGATGATCAACAGACTGGTGCAGAGATCCTGAGGAACTTGTCCAGGAGACAGGAAATACAATCCCGTCTTAAATTCCCAGTTCTGGTTATTTTGCACAGCCAAAAGTATTAGTTCCACAATCAAAAAGAAAAATGGAATTGCAAGTATGAGTAGCCTATAAAATAAATGAAAAATTACCCTATGAGTCAGTGGTAATTTTCCTTTATTCGGGAAGACATTCTACAGCTATTTTGTTAGGTGTCAAATCTAGTGACACCAACCATGATTTTAATGTTCTAGTACACGCACTAAAAGATTTTGCTATATAAACATCAAGGTATCAAACTAGGAAAACTATGCTTCCTGAAGAGCAGCCATACCTATGTTCCCATTATCAGGAAAAATCACATGCTACATTTATCTGTCCTCTGGCAGCAATTCTAGGTATTGTGTTCTATTCTGTCATTATCTTCTGGTTTGAACCTTTTAAATTCTTTTTTTGGTGGTGCTGGGTTTTAAACTGAGGGCTTTGTGCTTGTTAGGCAGATGCTATACCACTTGAGTCAAATTGACAGCCCAGGAACCTCTTAATAGTGGTTTTCTAATAAATTCCCAATGCTCTGCTACTTACAAGGCCAAAAGTGACTTCCTCTCACGTTTTAGTTTTAAGAATCGGAGCCAGGCTATCGCGCAGACCTGTGTTCTCCAGAGGTGCAGGTCACTCACTGCCTTCCGCATTTGGAGAAGAGAAGGGCAAGCTTGCTCTGTTTCATTTATGCCCTCTGAGGCTCTCAGCATTTCTGAATGTTCAAAATCTATAGCACACACACACATACACACACACTGTTTATTAATACCATCCTGAGGGATCCTGTTTTTTCTTCTTAAAATTATTAAAAGTTACTTTATTCAGATTTTGTTTTTATAACTGGATTCAAAGGAACTACTTAAATAATGTTGTTCAAGACTGATTAAGTTTATACACCACTGTTGTCTTTAATATTTTCTTTTTGGGGCTGGGAAGTTGGCTCAGTGGTAGAGCGCTTGCCTCGCATGCCTGAGGCCCTGGGTTCGATTCCTCAGCACCACATAAGCAAAAACAAAAAAAAGCCGGAAGTGGCGCTGTGGCTCAAGTGGTAGGGCACTAGCCTTGAGCTGAAGAGCTGAGGGACAGTGCTCAGGCCCAGAGTTCAGGCCCCACAACCAGACCAAAAAAATATATATATATTTTTTTGTAGTCATATAGTTTCCCTTATAGATGGTGACATACATTAAATGGATACTTCTTCATAAAAAATGTTTTGGAATATTTGTGGTTAACAGGCAAACAATATGAAAAAACATATAATAATGTGCAAGTTCTATAAATTCAAGGGAAAATATATTGAATTTTGTAGATATTAAATATAAGAAGAATTCAGAAAATGGTAGTTTTTGTTCAGCTCAGATTAAAAAAATAATCTCCAATGTATCAATATAAATAAGAGATTTCAAAAAGTTTTGAGAGGATAGCCAACCATTATCATCTAAATATTCACCACTAAGGTATCACTAACCTAATATTGTAGGGCAAAAGCTCTAAAAATCTCTAAAAACCCCTGACCTATACAAGAACCCTGTATATAGGATTTAGAAGTGGAATGAAATTGGTACTACCTAACTGCTATTAAGGATGATATGCTCATCTAGAAAATGGTGACAAGGATTAGTATAGAAATGTGATGCTATAGGAATATGTTAGTGTATTATCTACACATTGTTTAAAGTATTGGGCATAGCAGGAGTTATAGAAATAATAGTTCTTCTATCACCCACAAAATAGACATAGAGACTTAGAATTTTCTCAGTTTAGACTTTTTTGTGTCAAAGTAAGTACAATTTTTATTTAAAAAATATATAGATATGTTCAAATCTCATGCCCATAATGAAGAATTTTCATGTCCTCAAAGTATCCAACACACTATAGAGATTGGAGAAGACTGCTAAAATGGGAAGTGCATAGTTTCCAAGGAGAATGTAAAAGAATCTATGTTTAGCCTTACTGATGATAATAGAAAACAGTAACAACCTATCACAAACAGAAAAGCCAAATTTGGAACTAGACACTTTCCTTAGAATTTATTATGCAAAAAAATATTAGAAATAACAATTGACCCATTTATTCCAAAATAAATTTGAAAATTTCTGTGAGTTACGCAAATAGTTTTACCTTTTTCGGTAATGGATTTTCTATCTAGATCCATGAAGACTTCATTCAGAGTTGATATAGAGATGTCACAACTCATTATACCCTGACCAGAATATGCATCTAGATCACTGAGGAGATCTAAGACAATAGACAGAAGTACATACATTGAATAAAACATCAATAGGTAAACCTAGTTAATTAATGCTTATCAGAAAGACTTTCTACAAATTACTGTGGAATATTACAATAAGTAAGACAAAAATCTCATCAGCCTGGTCTTACTATGAAATTACTATATCAGGTTTCTTCAAACTCTTATCTTCATCTTCTCAGATCTTTTTCTAGGGTTAGAAGTATACTAATCCCATATTCACAACAAGACTAGGGACCATAAAGTTACTGTCCTCAGTATATCCCTAAATCACTCAAGGACATGGAGTAGGGAGTGAGAACCTTGGTTTTCAGGCCTCAAGTGGTATAACTCTAGGCATGTTTATTTATTCTTTCATACTCCCAGTGATACTGCACTTCAGTTGTCTGACACAGTAACCTGCTTGGTAATGTAAACTTACCTGGCTTCCTTCCCTCCCCACCTCATCGCTCCATCCCCAGCTGGTGTTTCCAAGAATTCACCAGCAAATAAATTCACCCTCTCAAATCCTCATGTCAAATCCTGCTTCTCAGATAATGCAACCCAAAACAACATTCATATTCACTAAATGATAAAAAAATGGTGTGAACATACATTCCCAAATTTCATTCCATTATAGTCATCTATACATCTATACATCTATACACCCATACAGTCATCTATATATTACCTGGAAACCTACTCGTCCTTTCCAAAGGCAAAGTGTACACAAGCTTCTCTTTGTTTTCTGTTTTTAATTCGGCCTCAGGGATGTGATGCTTAATAAAGGATGTTATTTTTTCTGGATCATATATTTCATTCCTATGTAAACTAATATTTAGGGAAAAAAAGACAAGTAGTTACACATTCTCTGTGACTACCTCACAAGAATTGTTGTTGAATAATTAGCCTCTGAGCACTATCATACTTGGTTTTAGAAAACAACAAAATGAGCAGATAATAACTATCAGTTTGGAAATGGTATCTGTATAAGGATGATCAATAGATTGAAACAACTGTAAATACATACATAATTATTGTATTTAAGCCAATGTACTGAGTAAACAAAGGGAAATGAGAATATCAGACATAAGAGACTTCATGGGAAACACAAAGACTACATCTAACAGGGTCACTATCAAAAATTATTGGTCAGCAGAGAAATTTGGCCCACTGCAAAGTTTTGCTTGCCACAGGGTTTTTATAAAATAAAAATTAAAAACTTTTAGACTGAACAATCAGTTTCTAGTTTAACAAAGAGTTTTTTTCACAACTCTTTGCAAGTAGATTTTTCTCCCTGCTTTTATTGGCTTCTGAAAATATTTGCCTTCGAGCTTTTTGAAAAAATGGAAATATAATACTACATATCAACTGAGTAAAGTGAAGAGTGAAAAGGTAGAAGATCTGGTCTATGAACAGCTACCTGGAAAAGTAGTACAGAAAGTAGCCCTGCTGTAAGCAGATGGTCTAGTTCATAATGTTGACATTTTTGCCCATCATTAGCCTTACTACAGAGTCAAAGAGGCAGGAAAATAGGCAAAGTAGTTGAACAACACTTACCATGAGATCAATACTCGTTCACAGTGTCTCACCTTAGTATTTATACCAGTACATACTAATATAGATCTAATCTTTTCCCAAAGTCTTTACCTTAGGTGATATCCAATGCCCCATTTTCTCTTCAAAAAGATGGAAGAGCCTGCACATTTCAGTTTCCCGTGGGACATTATCACCTTTCTATCTGATTAAAAAGAATCATGAGATAGAAGATATTAGGAGTCATTTTGTCTCTCTCCAAAAATATACTGATGAGGAATCAAAGTTCAGAATTCCAAAGAAATGCTCTAGGAGACAAAACTAAATATGCTAATACATCTTTGAAATCAAAATAGATACATTTGGAGCTCATCCAACACCAATCTAATTCAGTATCCTCCACTACTTCCTAAAGAAAGACATCACAAATTACATATGGGTGTATTTTCACCCAGCACTTAAGAATGCTTAGATAATTTTCAAACAGATATATATTAAATAAGATTTTTACATTTAATTAAATGTAGTTCTGATGTGGCCACAACCTAGCACCTGCATGGCAATAAGAAACTGTTCTCTAGCTGTGAAATATAGGCACATCCTGGTATTCACAGTTCTTACCCAAGAGTACGCATCACATCTAAAGCCCTATTGTCATTGTGGTACTGAGATAAAAACAATTACCAGCAAGGCTGTCTGCCTCATCCACATACTTGGTACTGAAGAGGATCACCCGATTTGCTCTATGTTCCTTCAGGAAGCTCCACACCTGCTGCCTTGAAAAGGGATCCAGCCCAACAGTTGGTTCATCTAAGATCAAAATCTACAGGGGGTAAAGATACACAAAATATGCCTCTTTTCCATGTTAACTATCTCAGTAATTGACATAATGGGCAATAATCCATAAAACAAATAAATAAATAAATAGCCCATAATTGTGTCCAATATACTTACTCACAGCTAAGCAAAGTGGGTTCCCAGTTGAAACACTGCAATGAAAGCACTACCATTTTAAACACCAGGAGGAATCTGGTACTTGAAAGTGAGGGGTTAAAGGGAAGGGAGCATATAAATGAAGAGGAAAAGGGTGGGAAATTCAGTCAAAATATCAATGTATGTCCTACAAAATTAAGGTAAGCGGGGAAGGGGTTGGGTATGGATGGGTGAGAATGTTGAAAGGGGTGATGTTGATCCAGATGCACTGTATTCATAAACTGCTTTGTTGAATGGCAACTCCTTTGTACAGCTACTTAAAGATAATAAAAACATATTTTTTTAAAGGATGGCTTTCCCTGACAATCTGCTTTCCTCCCCAGGCACAACCTTACTTACTTGAGGATCTCCTAAAATGGCAGTCCCAAAGGTCAGCTTTCTTTTCTGTCCTTCACTTAAATTTTCAACACGGTCATCCTGAATAGTTTGCATGTCAAACTCCAATAAAATTTGTTGTACCTGTACATATATATATATATATATGTACATATATATATATATATATATATTTAGCCTAAAGTCCAAAATGACTCATTTTAACAATTGTAACTACCGGGCGCTGGTGGCTCATGCCTGTAATCTTAGCTACTGAGGAGGCTGAGATCTGAGGATCATGGTTCAAAGCCAGCCCAGGCAGGAAAGTCCGTGAGACTCTGATCTCCAATAAACCACTAGAAAACCAGAAGTGACACTGTGGCTCAAGTGGTAGAGCACTCGCCTTGAGCTGAAGAGCTGAGGGACAGCGCCCAAGCCCAGAGTTCAAGCCACGACCGACAAAGAAAAATAAAAAACAATTCTAACAATGCAATTTAACTTTGATTAAAGTAGTAGATGCTATTGGAGATTCTTTATTGACTAAATTTCTTTCATAGCTAGACAGGTAAAGCAGGGATGAGAATTCTATGGCCATGATTAAACTTGGTACACAATTGCCAGTTCATTCATTTGAGCATGCCCACCAACCTCTCGTTCCACTTCCTGTGGATGGATCCCTTTTATTATAGCAAACAGCCTGAGGTTTTCCTTTAAGGTAAGTATGTCAAACTGAACATTATGTTGAAGACAAACACCAGTTCTCTTTCTGATTTCCTCCAAGTCTTGAATTTCAGAGGGATTTTTATTGTAGATAGTGACTGAGCCTAAGAACAGAATAAAAATAATTTAATGTTGGTAAGATGATCGTATACTTTATTAATATTTGAACATATTATACAAGAAAATACTGACATACATTCACTTAAAAATCTAAAATGAAGTGGTAGAGTGCTAGCCTTGAGCACAAAGAAACTCAGGGACAGCATTCGGGCCCTGTGTTCAAGCCCCAGGCCTGGCAAAAACAACAACAAAATTAACAACAAACCTATAGGGCTGGGAAGGTGGCTCAGTGGTAGAGTACTTGCCTTGCTTTCATGAGGCCTGGGTTCGATTCCTCAGCACCACATAAGCAGAAAAGGCTGGAAGTGGCACTGTGGCTCAAGAGGTAGAGCTCTAGCCTTGAGCTGAAGAGCTAAGGGACAGCACCCAGGCCCAGACTTCAGGCCCCACAACCGACAAAAAAAAATCTAAAATGATGATTTCATGATTTGTTAGCAGTTATTAATCATTGTTAGCACAAATACATGTTTATAGTGAAACACATTTTCTCTGAAATATCACACAATAAAATCAAAGTGATTTTCATGGGAACTGAAGAAATTGGAAATACATTCAAAGTTATTTAGTGCTGGGAAACAAGTTTAGGGAAACTAATGTCTTTCAAGCCATCAGATTAAAAATTTTTTAATGGCAAGTGTATATATGTATATATAAGCTCATTCTTTATCAGGTTGCTTTGAGAGCTAACTTTAAACTTACCTTCTGTTGGAACAGATAGTCCAGTAAAGATGTTTAGTAGTGAAGATTTGCCAGCTCCTTTGTGACCCAGAATTGCTGTGATTTGACTTTCGTATATATCAAAGAGCAAACCTGTTTTTGATACAAGATATTCTAAATAGGAGGGCATTTCACAAGATGGGTCTTAAGCATTGAACAAGAAAAATAGGTTTCACAGTATGCTTATCAAGCATGTCAGTACTTTACATCTTTTCCAACTGCCAAAATAAAATGTAACTAATTTAATAACTAAAATGATGTAATGACAGTGAAATGCATTTAATAATTAAAATGATACTGATGTAATGTGGCATGATTAACAGAAGTCTAAAATTGACCAAAATAAATATGAAAATTAGTAAAATGAACTTAAAAATTCATCAAAAAGGATGAATTAATATTAACAACTTTTATGTTTGTTATTAAATATAATACACAGTGTTTTCATGGGCTAGAGGAAACTGACAATATCACCACAAAACTGAAATACGTGACTCAATTTCCACATCTACAAAGTGATGGAAATATTATGTGATTTTCAAAAACCAAATGAGAGAAAAAAATCCGTGAAAATTACTTAGCATAATTCCCAATACATACTTACACCTCACAAAATCTTGTGTATTTATAGCTATTATCTTGTCATAATTATGTATTGCTTATTAATATGGATTTAATATTCATGGAGGAAAATTAAATATGAACTAAGAACCTTAAAAATATCATCCCTAATAATTCAACTTCCAAAAATTTATCTTTATGAAATAAGGTCTTCAAAAAGATTGCACAAGAGGATTCATTCTAGGGGCTGAGAAGGTGGCTCAGTGGTAGAGTGCTTGTCTTGCATGCATGAGGCCCTGGGTTCGATTCCTCAGCACCACATAAACAGAAAAAGCCAGAAGTGGCGCTGTGACTCAAGTGGTAGAGCACTAGTCTTGAGCTGAAGAGCTGAGGGACAGCACACAGGCCCAGAGTTCAGGCCCCATGACTGGCAAAAAAAAAAAAAAAAAGAAGATTCATTTGAGTGGAGTTTTTATGGCAGTTAGTTGAATGAATCATACCAGTCATACAAGACAATGGATGTAGTCACTTTAGGCTAATGATAAAGGATTTCAAAAGCGTGCTTTTAAAGGTATCCTAGAGTTGGCAGAGACTAGCTGCAGGAGCAGAAAGCCAAGAGAGTACAATTCTAATTCTATCCTTTTCCCCCAAGGAGCAACTCTAGCTCTCTCTGATTTCATTTTCCATATATTGTGTTTAGTTCTCAAGACTACTCTATTTTTACTTATTTATTTATTAATTTTGCTGGTCCTTGGGCTTGAATTCAGGGCCTGGGCTCTGTCCCTGAGCCTTAAGTAGTAGGCTAGCACTCTACTACTTGAGCCACAGCATCACTTCTGGCCTTTTCTGTTTATGTGGTATTGAGGAATTGACCCACTAAGCCACATTCCCAGCCAAGGCTACTGTATTTTGAGGAAAGCATTTCTTTTCCTTCTGAAAGTCATTAGGATTAAAAGCAACAGGACCTCTGTGAAATGTAGACGCTAACTGTAATGTTTTCTTTAAAATTCATAGTAGAACCTGTATCCTTATTTCAGCATTTTCTTATTTCCCTTCTCCTCCCCAAATTAGAAAAATGTATATACAAGATGCAGGACACTGAATCAAATACAGTGAAACAGGGGTTATACCATGGGGGAAGAACATACAATAAAATTTTAAAAAATCACATAGTACATTTATATATATATATATATATATATGTATATATATATATATACATTAAAAACAACAGCAAAAAAGATAAAACATCTTGTGTAAAATTAAATGTACAAGATACTATGTTGAAAATGAACTTTACAACTTTGTAGGGGGGAAGGAGAGGAGTTAGGAAGGTGTGGAGGGAAGGGATGGAAGGGGAAAAACAAAGGAGGAGGTAACAATGCTCAATAGGAAATGTACTCATTACCTTACTCATGTAACTGTAACCCTTATGTACAGTATCTTTACAATAAAAAATATATACAAAAAAGTTAAAAAATAAAATTCATTGTAGAAAACTATACTTTCTAGAACAGTGTTAAAATGTTTGCTTCATTCCAAGTTACAAACTATTCTGTCACAGGAAATTGTGTATTTAATTCAGTCACTGACAATGGTTCTACTGAGACTCCTTTTAACTATTATACCAGTATTTTTTAGCCCTATATCCCTTAAACATTATTGGACTATAAGTGTAGATACTCCTTCTTCACAGTACAAATGTATCATTATGTTTTTATCCTAGTCATACTAAAACACAGAGAATTTTCTTGTTTCATTGTACCAGCCAATTTTGCAAAATAGATCCATTAAATATTGGAAAAGATTTTACAATTTTATTCTCAAAATTTTATTAGCATAAATTAATTTATAATAAATTCTTAATCATTAATAACATCCAAGTGGAAGATTAAGATTACTCGCATTCATTTTCTTTTTTGTTTGTTTGTTTGTTTTGGTATATTTTCAACTATCACACGTTGAGTTTTTCTCCTGTTTTGGTAATAAAGTCAATGACAGAATTAAGTCTTTTTTCTTTACCTTTCAATGCTTCCACTTTTCCAGATTTTCCTTTATATTCCTTTTTAACATTTCTGATTCTGAAATGATAAAGATGTTAATTTAGCTGCAACAGAGATAAAGACAGCACAGATAATGTGTTCAGTTTGAGTGATACAAGCAATTGGCCACTTTATGTAAAACGGATGATGTTCTAAGCATGTTATGCAGAAAACTTCCTCAACTATCAGCATAAGGTAGATTACACTATGGAGAAAGGGGTTCAAGAAATGAAAACAGCAAGTATAAAATAGAAGTGGTGGCACAAGAAACAAAGCAGACACAAGGTGCCACAAGATGACAGTGAATGGTGGTAATCAAAACCAGAGAGACTTTTCTTTCAAGTAGCATTTAGGAGAGCTTGCTGGTGAGGGAAGCAGAACTGCTCAAAGGGATGTAGATAAAGGAAGTGGTGCTATGGCTCAAGTGGTAGAGTGCTCGAGTGCAGGGACACTGCCCAAGCCCAGAGTTCAAGCCCCACAACCGACCAAAAAAAAAAGTTGTTTGGCAGGGATGTAGATAAAGATAAATTCTTCCCCCTTCAATAGTTTTCCCTATTCTCACTCAATCTCATTCATGCATTTGTGTGGTTCTCGTGTGATTACCTGATGGCTTCTTTTCCCTGTAACTCAGGAGCTACAGGCTCAAAGTAATCATCAGAGGGCTGTTCAGGATCTAGGTTTTCCTCAAGAACATTATTTTTAGTCCTCCAATGTTGGAAACAAAATGATGAATTCAGGAAAAACAATGGAGAATGGTGGAGTTCACTTCCATCTAATTAATCAAGAGACAATAAAGTATCCAATCAGTAATGGTATAATGAGAAAATAAAATTCAAAATAATATGGAATGTACTGGTTTTTTGTTTGCTTGTTGGCACCCTTTGCTTTCTATCATGTACTATGTCTTTCAGCACTTTTTACTTTAGTTTTTTTTTTTTAAATATAGTCTTGCATTTATGCCCTGTCCTGCTAGACCATTACCCTACTATTATTCCCACATAACTGAGATGATAAGCATGTATCCTTGCTTCCAACTATTGGTTGAGATTGTGAACTTTTTACCTTGGTCTCATACCATAATTCTCCCAGTCTCCATCTCCAAGTAGCTAGATTACAGGTGTGAGACACCACACTCAGCTTGAAATGTTGTGAACTTTTACAATAACACAGGAAAAAAATTCTCCTTCAAAGTGGCTATGAATTCAGAATAAAACAAATGCTACACCATTTTTTTAAAAAGCAGGAATAATTTTAAAGTATGTTCATATTTATCTTAACAAACACTATTTCTCCACATACTTTTCACTTGTATATCTAAATACAAATATACAGATTTTAGTATTACCTTTAATTCCACTTGTGTGATCTAATATTTATGTCTACACACATAACTCTAATTATTTTTATTTGTTATACTAATGCTTGGTGCTTTCACAACTTATTTTCTCAGCTTGGTGTTTATTTTATCCATTTGAAATCATTTTAGTCAAACTTTTGATTTATATTTTGTGAAAAGTTCCATTATATTAACTTTTGCAATATTATTTCTTTTGAATTTTCATTGTTTACTTCCTTGTCACAAATGTTGTTGTTTCATAACTGAAAACATGCTTCATTCCACAGCTGAATTCTGAGATCTTTAAAGCACAACTAACACCAATATTCATCAAACTTTTCTATGAACAAAACCAACTGAAAAAGAGAACTACAAACCTATCTTTTAGATGAACATAGATGAAAATTTTCTCAAAAGAATACTAGACAATTGAATAAACAAGTAATCCAAAAAAAATACATTACAATCAAATAGAATCCATCCTCGGAATGCAAGGCTGGTTCAATATATGCAAATCAATAAATATAATACAGTGCATCAACAGAAGTAAAGACAGGAATCACATGATAATTTTAATAAATGCAGAAAAAATCTGCCAGATCCAACATTCTTTTATGTTAATAGCTCTGGAGAAGCTAGTAATACAGGAAATATTCCTTAACATAATAAAGGCTGCTTATTACAAACCTACAGTAGGCATTATACTCAGTAATGAAAAACTAAAACCATTTTCTCTAAAATCAAGATCAAAACAAGGATACCCACTTTCTCCACACCTCTTTAATATAGTACTGGAATTCTAGCAAGAGTAAAAAGTCAGGAAAAGACATAAAGGGGAAAGAAATATGGAAAGAACTAAAAGTCACCCTATTTGAAGTTGACATGATCCTATATTTAAAGGACCCAAGAGATTCCACCCCCAATCTCCTAGAGCTGATGAAAAACTTTGGCAAAGTAGCAGAATATAAAATATGCCAATAATGAAAAGATTGAGACTGAGATCAGGGTAGCAACTCCATATGCAATAGTGCCCCCAAAACAAAAATACCTAGAAATCAACTTAAATATGGATGTGAAGGACTTCTACAATGAAAACTATAAATTTTTAAAGAAGGAAATCAAAGAAGACTTAAGCAAATGAAAAGAGCTTCTGTGCTCCTAGATTGGAAGAATTAATGTCCTAAAAATACAACTCAAAGCATTCTACAAATTCAATACAATACACCTCAAAATCCCAACATCAGTCCAAAAAAAATCAAAGGTCCCTAAATCTCACAAGCAATCCTATGCAGAGAAAATAATGCTAGAAGTATAACAATTCCAAACACCACACTATATATAGTGATATAGTAATGAAAGTAACTTGGTACTGGCACAAAAACAGGTCTGATGACCTATGGAACAGAATAAAAGACCCAGAAATAAATCCACAGACTGATAGCCATTTAATATTTAATAAGGGTGTCAAAAACATAAGCTAAAAGGAAGATAGTTTTTTCAACAAATAGAGCTAGGAAAAATGGATTAACCTCATAAAGAAAACTGAAACTGGCTCACTAATATCAGTTCAAAATGGACCTCAAGGACCTCAAAAATGGACCTCAAAAAGACCTCAAGGAAGACTTGACATGAAGCGACTACTACTACTTGGCATAGGGAAGAACTTTCTAATACAGATCTAGGAGCACAGCAAGTCAAAGAAAGAATGGCAAAGTGGGATTGTATCAAACTAAAAGTTTCTGCATGGCAGGAGATATAGTTAACAAGCTAAAATTCCTACAGAATGGGAGAGGATCTTTGCTAGCTATACATCAGATAGAGGTCTAATATCTAGCATATTCAGAGAGCTTCAGAAGCTAAGCCCTCAACACCCCTCTTCATAAATGGATAAAAAAGCTAACTAGAGACTTCTCAGAAGAAGTAAAAACACCCAAAAGATAAATGTAAAAATGGGATGGGAATGTGGCTCAGTGGTAGAGTGCTTGGCTAGCCTGCATGAAGCCCTGGGTTTGATTCCTAAGGACCATATACAGAAAAAAACAGAAGTGTTGCTGTGACTCAAGTGGTAGAGTGCTAGCCTTGAGCAAAAAAAGCTCAGGGACAGTTCCCAGACCCCTTAGTTCAAGATCCAGGACCGGCAAAAAATAAAATAAAATAAATGTAAAAATGCTCAACATATCAGACCATAAAGGAAAAACAACAATGAGATTCCATCTAACGGCTATAATCAAGAATATAAATAATGTGGCCAAAAAAGAATCCTAATACACTGTTGATGGAAACATATACTAGTATAACCAACTCTTGAAAGCAGTATGGAGGCTCCCAAAAACATTAAACATAGAATTGTGCTATGATCCAGCAATTCCACCCCTGGATGTTTAAAAGATTCCAAACTGTGGCTAGGAAGGTGGCTCAGTGGTAGAGCGCTTGCCTTGCAGGCCTGAGGCCCTGGGTTCGATTCCTCAGCACCACATAAGCAAAAAGAAAAAAGCCGGAAGTGGCGCTGTGGCTCAAGTGGTAGAGCGCTAGCCTTGAGCTGAAGAGCTGAGGGACAGCGCCCAGGCCCAGAGTTCAGGCCCAACCATGACCGGACCCAAAAAAAAAAAAAAAAAGATTCCAAACTAGGATACAGTAGAGTAACTAGCACAATCAAGTTCTTTGTAACATTATCACCATAGCCAAAGTATGGAATTAGGCCAGACGTCTCTCAGTGGATGCGTGGGTCAAGAAAATTATATTTATATTGGAATATTACTCAGCTATTAGAGAGAATGATATTGGGGAAAAGATCATGTTAAGTGAAGTAAGTGAAGCCCAGAGAGACAGAGGATGTATGTTTTCTCTCCTATGTGGAAGCTAGAATTAATCTATAAATATATAAATACACACTTTAGGGTGGTATCCAAGTGAAAACAACAATGTAATTCCTTAGAAAGGCTAACTCATAATCAAACAAAATAAACATCAGGAATGAGGTATTCAAAAATGGGGGGACTGGACCAACAAAAGGGGAGGGGAGTGAACTAATAAAGGTGGGGGGTAGTCATAAGACCCAATGCATATAAGAAAATTGAGGGAAAGGGTGGGGTTGGGAATGATAGGGCAAAGTGATGAAAGGGGCGACATTGATCAAGATCCATTATATCCAAATACTACTTTGTTGACAGGTAACTACTCAAAGATAAAAATAATGTTTTTAAAAAGAATCTCAGATATAAACCCAGAGTCAATGAAATGTACAACTAAGTACAAATTACAGGAATGTATACAGTTAATTCAAAGGAACATATAAGACAACATTAACTGTAGGCAAAATGGCAGGAGTACAAAAAATAAGAAGTAAGATTGCATGGGAAAAAGCATTCTAGTTCTAATCTGGGTGAAAGAATTCTGTGCTTATGTGAAAAATTTGGTTGTATCCAAGAAAAAAATCTAATAATCATAATCAACAAAACTTGTTAATATGACCAATATGTGAAAGAATATTGGCAAGAATTATACTAATCAAACCTGGCAGGGGAAATCATTCATTTTATCTTGTTCTGATACAAGTATCCCTTTCAGAGATACTTTAAAATATATCATTATTTATTACATTTTTAAATTAGTATTGTAATATGATTATACTTTTATTATATTGAAATCCTAATAACACTGTTTCTACACCAAAACTTATTTAGAACATTAAAACTTTAAGTAGAAATACACAATTCACTTGGTCTGAGATAAGGAATATTTATTCTTTATATACAAAAATACATATTTATATAACTTTAAGAAAAGTCCATCAATATAATCAGTCACTAAAAAAGATAGAAAAACATTCACTTTTACTTACAGGGTAAGAGTTTGTCAAAGTATAATGCCAATAGCAAGTAAACTACACCATCAAAAACCAGAATAGAGCATTTTGCTATCATTACATAGGACTCTCCTGAAGGGTCAAAAAAATTGATACCATTGAAATTGTAATCCTGGTGAATAATCTAAAATTAAACAAAAATAATAACAGAATTTTAAATTCATAAAGGGTTTAGCAGAATGGCAATAATTAAGCTACTAACCTCCTGTCTCACAAAGCCCTTATTAGCTGTCAGTCTAATACATAAGTAAACAAACCTGTTAAAATATTTCTATTTTATTATGACAAAGGAATCTTAGTACAAAATGTTGAATTTTTAAAGTACAATGTTCCAAGTCTAGAAATTTAAATTCCAATGTTTTCATCAAGTTATTGCAACTAGTGAGTAATTATTTGCTACAACATATGATGTACAAATGCAAGAAATTATTTGAGTCACTGAAGCATTTAATGAAAATACTAAAATGTATCTTTGAAGAGTTACTACTGAAAACAGAGATTTATATTTACAATAATATCTACTTTGTTCTGGAACCTCTTATACTATCCTCCTTAATCGCCAGCAAAACCCTCTATTGTGAGCTTTGTTACATTTATCTGATTTGTTCAGAGTATGAAATTAAAGTATAGTAAAGTTGAGTGATTAAACTAGACAAAGACAAATCACGTAGTGAGGAGAGGCTAAGCTGTGGTGAGAACTTAAAAAACCTAGCAACCTAAGTTAGGTGCCAATGGCTCACAGCTGTAATCCTAACAACTCAGGGGACTCAGGAAGGAAAGTCCATGAGACTTTTATCCCCAATTAACCATTAAGATGGTTAAAATGAAGCTGTGCTTGAGTGGTAGAGCACTAGCCTTGAGCACAAAAGCTCAAGGACAGGACCTAGGGCTCTGAGTTCAAGCTCCAAAACTGGTGCAGTAAAAAAAAAAAAAGGCACAAAGGATCCACCTCTACAAACAATTTTTAAAAGAGAAAAATGTAAAAAATTCTTGAAGCATCTGGAAAGGTATTCAATGTCATCAGGAGTTGGGAAAGTACAAATTACCAGGACATACATCATTACATATCCATTAGAATGGATAAAATTTGAACAACCAACCAACAATATCATCAAAATTGTCAAAAACTGGAAACATCATTTATCAATAAAAAAACTGATAGCATATTTATACAGGATAATACTGTGTAGCACTGTATTATAACTTCATACAAAACCTTGAAGGACACTTAAAAACACAATTTCGAATGAAAACAGCCAAATTTTCAGAAATACATTTAAATTTTTATATTATTCATATAAATTGAAAAATAGCAAACTAAAAAATGCCATTATTTAGAATCGCAAACTTAGCTGAAAATGAAAAGCAAGGATATAACTGTCATAAGCCCTTACCTTTTGAAGGACATGGCCTAAAGTTGCTTCAGAGTTAGTGCAATGTCTTTCTTTTTAATCAAGTTCATGGGCTTGGTCTGACTTTATAAAGTATTTGTTGAACTATATATTTATGTTTTAAAAGCTCTTCATATTTGAGTCATAGTTCTTCAAGTAAAATGACTTAAAGTAAGTTTAAACAACAATTTTAAGAACTAGCAGTGTGCTTCACTGTCTAAAATGAAAATACTAAAATATTTATATGCAGAAAAACACCTCAAGAAGAAAAATACTTCTCAGAAGCAAAAATATATGTTTTCTTACGAGAAAACAATTATTCCTGCATTGTAATAATAATTTTATATTTAGCAGAAAAATTGCTTAACGCAAATACTCTTGGTGAGTTGGGTTAACTACAAAGTGTCATGAAGTGTTAGTTCTTTTGAAAGTTTATCAATGAGTGAACTAAGCTTTTACCTGACTCATTCCAGAAGTAAAGGCAAAAGGGCTACAAACACTCAGAATCCACTCCAGAGATGAAGGAAGTTGTTTGTACAATGCAGTGAATCCCACACAACCCCAAAAGAGAGTAATAAGAAACATCATAAAATTTGTAAGGGCAGCTTTCTGCAACAAAACACTCATCAGGAATGATAAGGCTATCTGAAAGAGAGAAGACATTTAAGCTGTTATATGTATTGAATTCATTGGGAATTTATGGGAGCACAATAAAATGAGGCTGTATATCACAAAAGATATTTATCCATGAGAAAGTGTTAGGAACATTAAAAATACCATGATCTGTTCTACTCTCAAACCTTACCCCTCCTTTTTTATAAAGAAGGATTATTTTAAAAATATGCTGGGTGTTGCTGAGAAAGAGGTGGGGGAAATCTGGGGAAAAATATGAGAGTAGGGTGCAAATGCAAAGTTTGAAAAATTGAAGAAAGCTAAATTAATGTATTAAGGGTGCTTATAATCACTACAGAAAACACCCTAGAAGGTAGAGAAAACGAAAGCCATGTTCAGAGAAGGACAAAAGCAATGAATTAGAGGGAGAAGAGATATTCTGCAGAATAATTCATTCAATATTATAGGATGCACTAGCAAAAGCACACACACACATTCTCTCAAAAACTTCCACTCACAAACATGTTCCCACACACGACAGACATGGAAAGATCTACTAGCCTATTGTTTCATTGATATTTGCTACACATAGTTAATATCTAAAGTGGAACAAATGGTGACAAATGTGTAAACTTACCAAAGATAGGCCATATAAGAAAAAAAGTGTAAATATGACGATGAAGCCAGTCATAACTATAGTTTGGGTGGTTGTTATGATAACTGTAATGAATATGGAAAAAATGAAGACAAAGCCAGCATAAAGTAAGCCCCAGGAGAGCCTAAATAAACAAAAAAGTAATTTTCATTATTTAACTTTGCTAAAAATTATTTTAGATATGCAAAACATCTAAAGAATATCATTATCCATGTATCTTAATGACTATGGCATTGTTAAAACAGCAGAAGTCCTCTCCATATCCTTTTCCTGATCACAATTCTCTGTTTTTCTCCCACTAATGTAACTACTTTTCTAACTGTGATGGTTTTAATTCTTATGCATTTTGACTGCCTTTGAACACAGCGATATGGTTAAATACTAAATACTGGTAGAGTCACCAATCAATGGGAAAGGAGCCAATTAAGATATAAACAGCACCTTAGCCTTGCTGGCACCTAAAGGTTATGCATCAGCTCTGTATACTTGAACTATACAATTAGTATAAAAGTGGTAAGTTGTATAATATTGTACATATTCTTCTGTAACTTGCCTTTATCAACTTTCATAATGATAAGTAATAACATAAAATATTTCACTGTCTGGTATACCCTAGTGTTTTCTTGTCCATAGATATTTAGGTTTCTTCAAAGCTATTTATTTTTATTACAATGTTTATCAAGAAGATTACTGCATTTTGTTTTGGGGGTGGGAGATGCACAAGAATGTGTCTAAGGTGGAAATGGTGACTGAAACTTTGTATTATCAGCTTTCTCAGACATTACTAAATGGTACTAATTGTAGAACTGGCAGGAAATTGTTATAAAGTTTCTTTCTGTCAAGTCAATCAAGTAGTTACAGCAGAGATGATAATTTAACTATTGTTGACTATTTTTGGAGACAATATCTCTACTCTCTGTAGGAGAAGAAAATTGAAGTTTTATAATCCCATTCCATTTTTCCTACTCCTGTTCATGATTCTTCACTTAAAATGATCATAATGTGTATATACACACATTGTGGGACACCTTTATATCTTCACACTGTCTTGCTTTATATGTGCTAATGTTTATTTAAGAAACTGTATTCAGTCTAGCAAAATTATAGGGTACACAAGTCCATGAATTAGAAAGCCATAATCTCTCTTATAGTTCATAGGCCTATCCAAGGTCACAGAATAATTAATAAGGATAAAGCTATAGAGGGTAATTATCTATCTATCTATCTATCTATCTATCTCTCCCCCTCCACTCTCTCTTCTACTTAAAACTGTATTATTCAATAAGGGTTCAACAGGGGAAGAATACAACAAGTGTTGACACCAGGAAGAGGCATCAATATAAATTGTGATAGAACATGTTTTACTATAGCTATTGCTGATTTGACTTTTTTAAAAGGTGCATGTCATTATAATGACTCAGACTAGCATTAGAAACAACAGCATTTTTAAAAAGCATATTCTGCAAAACTCATTTCCTGAGTACAGAGGGGCACTATATTAGGCAGGAATTGAAAACCAATACTAAAGAAAACTTAGGAGTTAAAGAGAATAAACTATTACATAGAAAAGGGAACCAGTCACAGGGTGGAGGTGGAAAGGAAATGTTAATACAGTACTTATTTAGGGGGGAAAAAAACAACCACCTCTTGGTAGTCAGCTGTTAGTTGCTAACACCTGTAATCAGAGCTACTTGGAAGGTTGAAATGCAGAAGATAATGGTTCCAGGCCATCCCAGACACAAAAGTTTTTTTGTTTTTTGTTTTTTTGTCGGTCGTGGATCTTGAACTCTGAAGAGGTGTTCCTCAGCTCTTCAGCTCAAGGCTAGCGCTCTACCACTTGAGTCACAGAGCCACTTCTGGCTTTCTGGTGGTTCATTGAAGATAAGAATCTCACGGACTTTCTTGCCCAGGCTGGCTTTGAATGGCGATCCTCAGATTTCAGCCTCCTGAGTAGCTAGGATTACAGGCGTGAGCCACCGGCACCTAGCCTCACAAAAGGTTTTTGAGATGCCATCTAAACCAAAAGCTGGATAGAGAAGTGTATGTCGTCATCCCCACTATGCAGAAGGCTGAAACCAGAAGGTCATGGTTCCAGGCCCTCCTAGACAAAGGTTCCCAAGACCCCATCTCAACACAAAAAGCTGGATGCGGTGACACATGCCTGTCAGCCAGCTACAGTGGCAAACGTATACAGAAGAGCTGCAATTCAAGCTAGCCTAGGGAAAAGGCAGACCTCTGCCTCAGAAGTAACCAGAACAAAAGGTCTGAAGTTATGGTTCAAGCAGAATGCTTGTCCAGCAGGCATGAGACAATGAGTCCAAACCCCAGCACTATAAGAACAAAAAACAAAACACAAAACACAAAATAAAACTAATCAATTCTTTCAGGATAAAAACAATTTAGGCATCACATTAAAGAATATTGTTACAATTCACATTTATATTAGCTCTTTTTTTTCCTGCAGGTTGTGGGGCTTGAACTCTGAGCTTGAGCTTTTCAGCTCAAGGTGAGCGCTCTACCACTTGAGCCACAGCACCACTTCCAGTTTTCTGGTGGTTAATTGGAGATAAGAGTCTCACAGACTTTCAGGCCTGGGCTGGCTTTGAACTGCCATCCTCAGATCTCAGCCTCCTGAGTAGCTAGGGTTACAGGCATGAGCCACCGGAGCCCAGCTTATATTAGCACTTGAAAAACAAAAAAGCCTTATAATGTATCTCCAATAGACTCCTGGCACCTAATAGTAATGTTTGAGACTCTTCTCTTCTTAGCTTTATTGATTCATATATAAATTAATTTTGCTAAGTTTTAGATTACATACATGCAAAGAATCATCCCCAAAATAAATGTTTATCCAAAGGTATGAAACCTTTCTGACTTTAACATGAGATTGACTGATAAAGCGCCTGTCTCTGGTGGGCAATTTGTAGGCAGTGGGTCTTACAGGTTTTACAGGCCTTGTTCTGGACTGAGATCATTTCTAATGGACTTCATGGGGAGATTTAAATCTCTTCCTTTGTATTTACAAATGATCCACTTCAAAAGCTCTTCTTCCTCTTTCTTTGACAGTTTCCTCTTTGTGTATCTCACAAATCATGTAGAATATTAGTCTTAAATTATAGGATAGTAAAATACATTTTTGAGAAAAGTAAAGATGTCCTCAATCATAATTCTATCTCAGGGAACCTGTAGTTGGCAAAAGATTACTGAATAAATAATTATTCATCCATTCCATGTCCATTCATTTCATGAACACAGATGGATTTTTGCTTGTTTGATACTAGGACTCTGTGTAGTATGGGCTGGCCTTTAAACACATTTTTCTGCCTATGCTACCCTTCTGTTGAGATTATAGGTATATACTACCAAACCAGCTAATGTGAGGAGTATATAAATTTCACTCATAATTCAATGTCAATAAAGGACATGTTTTAGAGGTAAAGTAAGCAGGTTATTTTCCATTTTCATAGCTGGTATAAATTTTCTCAAAAGTCTTATGAAATTTTCTGTTTAGTTTCTTGGGAATTTGAAGCTTATATGATTGACATTTGTGTCTAATAACATCAACTCTTTATTATTTTGCTAGGTCTTTGTTTCTATGCAATTATTTGCTCTTATTATGATGTGAAGGCATAAATAAATAGATGTACATATACTTATACAATGTGTTTATTATAGATATGCATATATGCACTTTAAAGCACCTTAAATTATTTATAGAATGGGACTAGATATAAATAATAATACATTAATCAAATACTCGTTAAACCCTTCCTATGTGCCAGTCATTGTTATATACCCTAGGCACATGACTTCAATCTATGGTATTTTGTTCTTCCATAAAAACATGCCTGATAGCTAAGTCCTTGAACAGAATTTGGCCTTCAAAGAGCTATTCTTTCTTTAACATGAGGAAGGTTTGAGATATCATCATGTAACTGTGGATGGGCCAGCATTGGAGATGCTCTCAGAGCTAAGGTTCCAACTGTCACAACCATCATCTACTGATACCAGATGGCCCTTATTCTCTTCTACCTTCACTATTTACAATATAGTCTCCAGAGCCTCTATCTCAAGGTTAGCATAGAAAAAAGTCACACACACAGTTCAGTAAATGATAATTACTACTACTACTTTCCAAAAAATCAAAGACTAAATCAAAAAGTGAGAAGAAACATGTCAAGTTTAAACCATGGTATTCTGAGAGAAAAAACAAACAAATATGTTTTCAGATTCCTAATTTCCATGTATTAATTTGTACTACTTGAATGAGTTACTTACCAGAATGCTGAGTCATATAGTCCCATGATTTTCATCAGATCCTTGTACTTTTTTCTCTCTCTTGTAACATTAAGTGATAGAAAATATATAATTGATATGAAGTAAAATAAACAGAACAAAATAAACACTTCATTTTGAAAGCTGTGTTTGGAAACAGAAGGCAATGCCCTCATGTTTATAGCTGTAACAGACATCAGCTCCTCCATCACAGAGTGGTTTGTTGTCATCTAAAGGATTGAAGCCAACAGAAGCCATTATGTATAGGATCTCAATGGTGACATCTGAGAAAGTGCTGTAGATTGTACTGGTTTTAGTATTTTACTGTAGGCCCAGAGGATGTTACCATTAGGGGGATAACTGGATATATTGTTTATGTAGCTTTGTATGAAAAATTCAAAGTTAAAAGTACAAAATTAATTAAGGTATTTATTTAAATGCCTGTTTCATCATGTAAATACAGGAAAGCCTCAGTAAATGTCACTATATTGTGTTCCCTCTAAAAGTCATGTTAAAACTCCATCCCTATTATAGTGATATTAGAAGCCTGGCTTTTGGGGAAGTGACTGAATCATGAGGGTATCACTTTTGTAAATGGATTGCTGCCTTAGAAAAGCTGGAGGGAATTGGCAAAGACATTTTGTCCTCACATCCTTCAGCCAGGTTAAGGTGGTGATATCTATTAGGAATGGGCCTTTACCAGATGAGTAACAAATAACTTGCTGTTGTTCTTTATAAATTACTCAGTCTTAGATCTTTATTGATAGCAGAACTAATGGACTAAGGCAAATATTTTTCATCAAAGTCTTGGTGTTTCTGGAATTAGTACAATTAAGCATTGGAAGTTTTTGACTGATCACTTACTTCTATAATAACAGCATTAATGAGAGTTTGTAAAGCCACAAAACCTCCTTTCCAATATAGGGACGATTCACATAAAAAATCATCATACGATTCAAAGCAATAACCTACAAATACAAAAAAGCACAATTTTGAGATGAGAGAAGTGGAAGAATAAGAAATGAAAATCTAAAAGAAAGCAATCTAGAAGAAACTCCACCCATTAGAACTTTTAATAACACAGACAAAAGAAGCAAATAAAATGTTTTAAATAAGGAACATTTTTTACTCCCATATTAAGTGGCTTGGCAAATTCTACTGCAGATCACAAGGAACCACCCATCTATAACAATTTTATTAATAAAAACCACAAAAGAAATAGAAAATTTTAGCAAATAAAAATGACTGAATTCTACTGCTCCAGCCATAGTAGATTCAATGTTATGTCTCAAAATGCCAAACATTTCATCCTTTGCTTTGCATGTAAAGGTTCTCCTTCCAGAAATATACATGGTTCACTCATTCCCTATATCCACATCCCTTTTCATCATAGAGGGTTTTTCTGCTACTATAAGTAAAATATAGAAACCAGCTTGAAATTCAGTCTTATAGCTTCGCAATTTTCTTTATATTATGTTGGTTGCTGTATCTGTTTCTTCTATCTTTTGGCCATTACTAGAATTATCACTGCAAACAGGCTCTGTGTTTTCTTTTTACCACAAACAGTGATATATGGTACAAACTCAGTAAATGAACTGATCCTACTACTCACATCAAGTCTATTTGTTAAATTGTCTAATCCATTGGTCTATTTCATAAGCTCACTAGAGGGTTTTATTGCAATTTCTTAGAACTCTTTGCACTCATTCCCTGAGCTATATCATTAATGCTCTGTTAATCTCAGAAACCTATTCACATTTTTACATCATTGGCTATCCAATGGTTTAGGTTTTCAAGATATCACAGGAAATAGCCCTTAAGTAACTTCAGTTACATTTTCCCATTTGATCCCATTCCTTTTATGTTCATCTTCCAAATCTACTAACAAGATATTCTTTCTCAACTTAGTACCTTAACATTTGCCTCTTTTCCAACAAACAAACATTATCTCAACTTTTTCAAACTTGCTGTTATTCTTGTCTTAGTTTAAACATCACTTCCCTAATCTGACAGTTTACTAGGAATCCTTGGTAAGTCCCTACAAGTAGCTTCCCCTATACTTGTCATTAACTGTTCAATAACTGTCTTACTTAACTGGAACCACCTGACATTGGAACCCATCAGACTTGATTACTCCTATCTTCTTTAAAACATACACCTAAAAGTTCAATACATATATGATGAATCATTCTACAATATTTTCAGAGTTAATCTCTCAAGGGAATACTCTTGACCTAAGAATACGCTCAACAATAAAATTCTATTCTCTCTGGTTTTTCATATGCCACAGAAAATATTTGCTACCCATTCATTCCCCTATCCCTTAAGTTTAAAAAAACTGCCATAATGCTATTTCATATAAAAATTCACCTGATAAACTTTTTTCAACCATTGGAACTGAATAGTCTACAACTTTTAGGTTGTAAGAGAAAATGTCATTAAAGATGATTCCCAATGAATATGGAAGATGCTTCTGAAATATATCATCCATATAGGTATAATTTGGTGTCCCAATGATACTTGCTCCTGTATACCAAAGGCAAAAGTAAACATAGAAAATGTTTAGAGGGCTCCACCAAAACAAAACATGCTATTTGGCTATCATATATTGTCATTAGATAGAAATTAAAATTTGCTTTCCATTTAAATGAAGCTTGAACTGAAAGGTAAGAAGACAATTTTAATGTTGTAGATTCCAGAATCAGGAGACAGATGTGTATAAAAATTAAATGCTATTTTTCAATGATGACAGGTATCAGGGAAAGTTTCAGATACATAGAAATACTATCCTGAAGTAAGCAAGCATGAGAGGATAAGGAAATGATTATGGTACTTACTATACAGCTGAGAATTCCAGATTTCATATTTACTGAAGCCAAGACTATTTCTATGATCTCCTCCTTATGAAGGGACTAAGATAACAAATCAACACTATTTTTATTATTTGTTTTTTTCAGGTGTTTGTTTGTTTGTTTATGTTGGTTGTGGAGCTTGAACTCTGGGCCTGGACACTGTCTCTGTCCCTGAGCTCTTTGTGCTCAAGGCTAGCATTCTACCTCTTGAACCACAGCACCATTTCTAGTTTTCTGGTGGTTAATTGGAGATAATAGTCTCATGGACTTTCCTACCCGGGCTGGCTTTGAATCATGATCCTCAGATCTCAGCCTCGTGAGTAGCTAGGATTACAGGCATGAACCACTGGCACCTGACTTATGAAATTGAATTAAAAGAGACAATATTCAGCTTGCCCTTAAATGAAATACACCTTGTGTTCTTCTTATTATATGATGATCTAAGTTAAAATAAAGGCCTTTAAAGATGTGTAATATTACATTATATGCAGGACAGTTTTCAAATTGTTCATCCTTACTTCTTAACTATGAAGTTGCAAAATTATTGCTTAATAACCATAGTCTAATCTTTCTTATCTTTGCTGGTCCTGGGGCTTGAACTTAGGGCCTGAGCACCGTCCCTCAGTTTTTTTTTTTTTCTCAAGACTAGTGCTCTAGCGCTTGAGCCAACTCCACTACTCCACTTCTGACTTTTTTAGTAGTTAATTTAAGAGTCTCACAGGCTTTCTAGTAGCAGCCTACTGAGTTTCTGTGATTACAAAGGTGAACCACTGGTGCCCAGCTAATGTCCTAATGTATTATTTAGATATTATTTAAATATTATTTATTTTGTATTTTTATGTTAAAAACATAGTGGCTCTATATTTTCCAGTCACTATTTTGTAAATCTGAAATTGTGCAATATGTTGTTTTGTTTATATTCTAGTAGAAATATGGGCCTCTCATACAAAAACTCAAGTTTAAAATATTTAAAAAGCTAACTGTTGTGACTTAATAAAAGCCTAATAAATTTTTTGAGGGGGTCTGGTCATGGGGCCTGAACTCTGGGCCTGGGCGCTGTCCCTCAGCTCTTCAGCTCAAGGCTAGCACTCTACCACTTGAGCCACAGCGCCACTTCCAGCGTTTTTTTCTTTTTGCTTATGTGGTGCTGAGGAATCAACCCAGGGCCTTGGGCATGCAAGGCAAGTGCTCTACCACTGAGCCACCTCCCCAGCCCCCTAATAAAATTTTTATCCTGATATTTAAACTTTTTAGCAAAATGTATCATTGTAATTTCAAACTGGTATATGAAACTCTTATCAAGAATATATGTACTACTAAGAGTAATTCTTTCTTACCCTGAGTACACTTACCTTTCATAAAAGGAGAAAGTGCTATTCTATTCATTATCTTCTGGGTTGTATTAGAGATTGGCATATATACAACTGTCATAGAAGAGCTATTAAATTGATCTAGCCTTCCCAGGTTCTCAGGAGGCTTTCCAGAAAAATGCATATTGTATGTAAAATGTGCAATTGTACTCATATATACTCCTAGAAGTACTGGGATGCCATATTCCTATGACACATTAAAAATAAGAGTGAGTTTTGATCATTTTCTGGTCAAGTCAGTCAATATCAAAGAACTGTGGCAGATGATTACCCATTTAGTTTCTACTCTTTGGAACAAGAACCTCCTAATGAAAGATAAATTCTTAGGACATACACTTATCACTTTTGGATGCTAATACTAAACTTTTGCACTAGCTCAGGAGCTACTTTAACCTAAGGAGATACAGAATAGGGTCACAATCTCTATACAACTGGACAGCTGATTCTAGAGGTTATAAGACATGCAGTATTCCAGATAGGGTCCAGGGTAGCAAATCATAATTCTTAGAAATGATATTACATCAAAAAAATAGACTTAATAACACAAAACTAAAATTTTGCAATTTATGCTAGGCAAAATTTTTATTATTTCTTGGATCTAAATATATATGTGGCAGCTTTAACATTTGCTAAAATTGACCATATAAAACTATTACAGGAAGGGGTAGGGGAAACACTAAGGATCCTGAGCACAGGTCTAAACTTTCTAAGTAAAGATCTAGAAGCACAACAAATCAAAGGAAGAATTGATAAATGGTATCGCATCTAGCCTAAAAATTTATGCATGGCAAAGGATGTAGATAAGCCAAAAAGAAAGCCTCCAGAATGAGAGAAGATTTTTATCAGCTATACATCAGAAAAAGGACAAATATCCAGAATATACTTGGAGTTCAAAAAATTAAACCTTAATAATTAAAAACTTCAAAGAAACAATTCAATTAATAAATAAGCTGATGATTTGAACAGATTTCTCAGAAGATGGCCAAAGGATTAATAAACACATTAAGAAATGCTCAACATCTGTAGCATAAAGGAAATGCAAATCAAAACAACACTGAGATTCCACCTCGCCCAAGTTGGATGGCCATTATATCAAGTAAACAACAACTAATGCTGGTTAGGATTCAGCCAAAAGGGAACTTTAATACACTGTTAGTGGGAATGTATACTAGTACAACCACTTTGGAAGCAGTATGGAGGTTCTTCCAAAAACTAAACATAGAACTATCTTATGACCTAGCAATTCTACTTCTGAGATTTTATCCAATAGATCACATACAAGTTTTTACAGTAAAGCCACCAACGCAACCATGTTCATTGCAGTATTAATCATCATAGCCAAGTTATGGAATCATCCCAGATGCCCCTTAATAGACTAATGGATCAAGAAAACATAATATATATATGCACATATTTATATATTATTGAATTTTACTTATCCATCAGAAAAAAATGGTGTTTTAAGGAAATGGAGAGGAAATGGGGAGACTTGGAATTACATTAACTGAAGTATGTCACACCCAGAGAAACAAAGGTTGCATGGTTTCTCTCAATAGTAATAGGTAAAAATGTGCCTAAAAATCTGTAAGTAAACACATTGGGTGGTATGCAAGGGGTTACAAATGAATTAACTGAAGTATAGTAGACTTTTAGGAGAGCTCAAATCATGTAGTTTTTTAGAAAGGTAAAGTCAAAGCCCAACAAAATAAGCACTAGTAAATGGGTACATTGTAAGAGGAGGGATAGGAACAAGGTGAGAGAGATAGAAAAATAAAGGGGGAAAAAGGAGGAGAACGCAGTTGAGAATTCATTGTACATACCACAAAATTAAGTAAAGGAAGGGGTGGTTGAAGAGGGGTGACACTGATCAAGATTCATTGTACTGATAAACTGCTTTGGTAAGTGGTGCCTCCTTTGTACAACTACTTAAAGATAGTAATATTAAAATTTTACCACATATATTTTATGTAATTTCTTTTTTTAAGTATGAGCAATACTTTTAGTATTGACTGTTATGTCTCTCAATTAAACATACACAACTAGCGACAACTTCAAAATCAATTTCCTGTTTAAAATATAACATTTGAAATCACTAGGCAATGATAAAAGAATGCTAACTGTGGAAAAAGGCAAACTTTCAGACATACCAACAAGCTATTTATTTTCATTCTCCATTTCATAAGAAGATTCTTGTGCAGAAGCGCTCGAGTTTGCTGATACAGACTTCTCTGCTTTATACCCATTTTACCTGCTCGGCAAATGAACAAGGATAAGTAAGCCACAAATATCAGGATAAGAACCTTGATTTTATTTTTGAGAAACATATTTACTACTTTTGAGAACTAGTTTTAAAAACTATCAAACATCAGTACAATAAGTCATGACTAAACTCAACTATATTCACTTGAAGCTATATGGAGGAGTGGTAATAGTAGGTAGTAGTGATTGTCATTATGCTTTTCCATTGTAATACACACATATTACATACAGTATTGTAATACATACAGTATTACAATGGAAAAATTCTTGCTAAAGTCCAGTTATCTAATGGAAGATAATTGCACATTTTTTACCTTTTATAAACTGAATTCAATAATGTAAATAGAATAAAATGCATCTCATTCTATTAATACTTATTTCTTGTTTCTTACATTTTAATACAAATATCAGAGCCAATCAAAATCCTGATTCGTTAAATTCATCTGAATCATAAGCTATATTCCTTAATTACAGCCCCAACAAAATGTTTTCTTATAAAACTTACCTTCACATTGAAGTAAATGACTTTTAAAAAAGAACGAGGCTGTGGATTATAATACAAACTCAAATTACTTGAAAATTGATTCTAAGGCACAGGAAAAATAAAACATTTCTCTGAAATTTCTGAATTCTGAAGTCTCTGAATAACTCAGGAAACAGAATTAAGTTTATATAAGAGAGAAAACAGAAGTTACATAGGAAAGTAATTTTTCCCAAATACTTCCAAATAAACAGAAAATAATTTTTCTAGTTTTTATAATCACTAAGTTTAAATATTATGTCAAATTTGTATATCAAAATATCCCAATAATTCTCCTTCAGTTGAGATAAAGTAAATTTTTACTACTTTCCTATATTCTAATGCTATATCCACACAAGAAAAAGAAAAACAGTCAAAGTCTTCAATCTAAACATAAATACTGGAAGCATCAATATTGTACAAAAAATAGATTGATTTTTAACCATGTCTACTCACTTTACTGTCAGAAAAGTCAGAAAAAAGTACTCTGAAAATATGGTTCTCTTTTTGTCTAGTACAAGAACTAAACTTTTTTTCCCTATGTAGGTACTACTTCCTGTTTATTCTCAGACCAGTTTCTGAAAAAGGATATAGTCAGCCCAGCTGCACACGATTAATTTGTTTATTTTTTTTGATCTGTGCTCTTTTTATCCCCTAAGCCAAGTATTTTGTAGAGAAATGACTGCCGCATGATTGGTTGAGAAAAAAAAAACACCCATGTTTGTTCATTTGGACTTTCAACTGCAGGAATTGGGGAGGAAATGGCAAACAAAGAAAAATGAAACTGGTCCATCAGACACCATGGCATCAAGAAGGAAAAAAAGGCAAGAAAAGCAAAAATAACTAATCACACAAAACACTTAACTTTCAATGAGAAATAAGCTATGTTTCTTCACTACTTATGGCTAAATACAACTGTCAATTATAGACTTGGCAACTTCACACTATGTGGGCAGAACATGCTAGAGCTGAATTTCTTTTCTTTCCTAAAAAAGCTAAACAATCCATAGTGTGTCTTAGAAAAATTTCTTGGATGAACAAATGAATTATGAACAAATTTCTACCTTTTACTCTATTCATAATAGATACAGGATTTTATAAGATATGTAAACAAAATAAAGTATAGTGAATTGCCAATGCTCAAAAAACATTACAAATATTCAAGAGGGATTTTTTTGCAGGAATACTAGAAAAAAGAAGTCTATCTCTCTGAAAAGAATTGTCAACTTTTCTTGCCTTGTCAGAGTAAATGGCAAAACAGGAAATCAAAGCTCAAAAGGTCATGAATTGCAAAATCTCAAATATTTGACATGCTCCCAATCCACAATCATAGGCTGAAAAATATGCTAGAGAAAGTGGGATAATTTTAAAACAAGTACAGTCAAAGCCATAGCATTATATATCTATGACTATACCTGCATGCATTCATACATACATTTACATACATACATACATCCTTGGCAAATATATAATGGATGTAGATGCAGCTTTAACAAAGAATGAAATTGTGTTGTTTGCAGGGTAATGGATGAATCTAAAAAAAAAAAAATCAGCTATGTGAGCTACACCCAGAAAGACAAAAAGACTGCTTTCTCCTCTAACTATTCTACAAAGTACAAAGAGGAGTGACAATCCAAAACTATTCTATGGATCATTATTATCCTGATATCAAGACCAGATAAAGGTACCCCCCCCAAAAAAAGAACTCTAAGACAATTTCCTTAATGAATGTGGATGCAAACATCCTCAATAAAATATCCAAATTCAATAATATATTTAAAAGGATCATGTACACTGATAAAGTTGATGTCATTCCAGGGATTCAAGGATGGTTCAATGTATACAAAAAGTAAATGTAATATAACATATAAACAAAAGCAAAACAGAAACACAAAATCACCTCAATAGAGGCAGAAAAATACTTTCCTTTCATCCCTTTACAATAATGTCCCTATAGAAAATAGGAACAGAAAGCTCAAACATCAATATAATAAAGACTGTTTTATCAGTGTAGTTGTTTCCTAGAAATATTATTTTTGTCTTGTTATTAAGTTGTATTCTGAACTATAGGCCTTTTTAAAGGAAATAGTTCTGTTCTCAGATTCAATTTTAATAAGTATACTGAAAAGCAAGATTTTGGAGTCTTCCTCTGTAACAGGTCAATTTGTTTCAAGGCCCTGAACAATTTCTTAGCCTACATTTGCTTTTGATATAAAAAAGAAAATTACACTTCTTTAGGAAGTTAACTTCATTTTTTATTTCACATTTCCTTTCTCTGTTATTTCATATAATATATGTTACATAATGTAAGCCATTTCAATATTGGTCTTTTTAAAAGTACTGCTTTAGTTATAATTATTAAGACTATTATCTTGAGGTCAATGATTTTTACTTTTATCATTATTGCTTCCTTTACTTCTCTTCACTATCAAGTACCTCTCACATATGAAAAATATTGATATAATACAATGTATGTTCCCCAATATATTTGATATATATGCTCCCCAAACATTAAGACTTAACATTTTGCTACATTTTCTTTAATTTTTTTAAATTGCATGTATATTTAATTATCTTTTGTAACTTTTCCAAAATCTTAAGTATTTTTTTCTCCACTGAAGGCATCTTCCCTCTTATTGGTTGGTTAGAACTCAGGGAATTAGCACCTCTAATAAAGTACACTGCCCCTTATGTCAGGTCTCCAGTCCCTTTTTTTGCGGGGGGTCCAGTCATGGGGCCTGAACTCTGGGCCTGGGCGCTATCCCTCAGCTCTTCAGCTCAAGGCTAGCGCTCTACCACTTGAGCCACAGCGCCACTTCCGGCTTTTTTCTTTTTTGCTTATGTGATGCTGAGGAATCGAACCCAGGGCCTCATGCATGCAAGGCAAGTGCTCTACCACTGAGCCACCTTCCCAGCCTGAAAGGCACATTTTTCTTCTCCAAAGATTTTCTTTTTCTGGCTGCTATTTTATTTTGGATTTAAATTTGGTTTTTCTATTTACCTGTGTTATTGATGATCAACAGACTGGTGCAGAGATCCTGAGGAACTCGTCCAGGAGACAGGAAATACAATCCTGTCTTAAATTCCCAGTTCTGGTTATTTTGCACAGAAAGCTCAGCAGTACTGTCTGTGCAATGAAAGAGTAAAAGAATGGGCTCTGAAGGGCAGGCTTGCAATGCCTGGCAATATGTAAATCCAGTCACGTGGGAAGCAGAGATGGGAGAATCATAACTCAGGGTCCGTTTGGCACAAAAACACAAATGTTAGCAAAATACCTCCAGTAAAACAAGGTGAGCATGGTGTTTCATGTCTGCAATCCCACCTACATGGAAAGTGGGACTTTACCTGGAAAAATCAAGTGAAAGGGGAGCCACACAGTAAAGTGCTTGCCTAGCCAGCACAAACCCCAGTAATGAAAAACAAAAATCTAGACTATTAAGTCACATTACCTGGGTTCAAATCCTACTTACACCATTTAGGAACTCATGTCACTGTGTATATCATTTAACCTTGCTGGTCTCCGATTCTTCAGCTATAAAAGATGAAAAGAATGTTGTAAAGACTAAACGTAGTCTTCAGCACCAGTGGGTCTCAGTTTTCAACATCCATGATAATCACCTGGAGGACCTGTTAAAATGCAGATGGATGGACACCATCTTCAGGGCTTGTGGTTTGATAGATCTGGAAAGGCCTGGTTAGTCCACCCTTAAGCCTATAAAACAGTGCACACGGCTGTGGAAAGATGATCTCCACAGCAGCAATTATCACTGAGTTCAGTGATTGCTGTTTCTAAAGCTTATTTCTTACATACAAAATCCCTTCTGGGGGAATTGCTTCACTTCTCAAATATTCCAATGAAATGATGCTTTTGTTTGACTCAGCTTGACTCATTCTCCCAGTGGGAACTACCAATGAAATCCTTAATAATGATTTATGTGGGGGAAATAAACTAAACTATCTGAAGTATGTGAACACTACTGGTTTCATTATTTGAGTCAAAAGAACTAAGAAAACTGAAAAAAAATCAGATTGGGGGATTACAGTCAGGTCTTTATTAACAAAAATCTTTTCTGAAGCTTTTCTTTCACCATCTTGGCTCAACCCTCTTCCAGTTATTAACAAAACTTGCTTTGGGGATGAAGAGATGGTAACAGGCTTTTCTATCATTTGGAGATCTGAAAAGTTTCAGAAGACTCCTTATCAAAGGAAGCCAGGTGCTGGTGGCTCATGTCTATAATCCTTGCTACTAAGGAGGCTGAGATCTAACGATCATGGTTACAAGCCAGTCCAGACAGGCAAGTCCATGAGATTCTTCATCTCCAATAAACTGCTCAAAAAAAAACCCCTGAAAGTGGCACTGTGGCTCAAATGGTAGAGTGCTAGCCTTAAGGAAAAAAAAAAAAGCTAGGGACAGTGCCCAGGCCCTGAGTTCAAGCTCTGGGACAGGCAAACCATTTCTGTCCTTCAGAACTTCTGGCTGTTTGCCTTCTTAAGTTTCACAAGTAGTTGACAAGTAGTTGGAGCTATCTTCTGGCCCACTCTGCATTGTGTGTCTTTCATTTTGATCCCATGGACTCTGATACGAAATGGCAAATGATTTCCCAAGTGAACTAGTAATTGAGCGACCATTTCGTTCAATAGAGTTCAGCCTTTGGCTTCCCAGAGGCTACCTTGCTGGTTCTGCCAGTTTCAGCCGCCCCACTGTCCTTTCTGGGACTGACAGTCCTCTGCTGACATCTTGTGGTCAGAGCATTTCAACCATTTCTTACCCCAGCCTCTGCCAAGGCCTGGAGCTTATACTAAGTAGGCTTCCCCTTGACAGGATTAGAAACATTTCCATGGCCTCTGAGCCTTTTTCTTAAAAGACAGACTTTATTTGTAAAGTATTTGTAAATAACCTTGTCACAGACAATGGTAATGACATTCATTCTCCCTAGCACAGGGCTCTAAATTCAAATTGGAAATTATCATGGTAAATCCTTTTGATTTTCAATCAGACAAAAAGGCCAAAAACCTTCAAATGGTTTTCTACATGATTTAGTTCACTTTTTTGTCAGTAGTCTGCTGAATGTGTTTTGTTTACTCAGCTACATGGGAATATCCATGAAGACCAAAGTAGTACTGGGCTGTGCATCTTACAAAAATATATATGATTATTTTAATGGCCAAAAGTCAATCAGATAGTACCAATGTTTGTTGGTGATGGGTTTAAATTCTTAGCCTCTAGCTTACCAGGTAAACACTCTTACTACAGACATGACTCTAGTCCTGTTTTGCTGATTATTTTTTAAAGTCTTGCTTCCTGCCCAGGCTTGTACCTGGGCACATTTGAGACAGATGCAGACTCCTTGAAAGACATTTAGGGAAGTACAATTGACATGGTACTGCCTCTTCCTTTTAGAAACCTATTTCTTTCTCTGAAATAGAATGTAGATACAAGAATTAACTCAGATCCAGAAACTAGGTCAGTGACCATGACAATTTATTGAGGCAATTGCTTTTAATCTACTGGCCATCCACTCTTACATTTATAAAGAAAGAACCACCCCTTGCTGACCTACTCATTTGATACCCCTCCCCAAGGTTAGTGTTCATCCATTATCTCTGTAACTGTACAGGTCCTACTTTCTACTTCCCACAACCTACCTGTTGTCAAGGTAAGTATGGCCTCATATTAAAGCAGATAATACAATTTGATTTGGTAAATACCAATAGTATAAGAAAGAAGAGAGTTCCTTTCCAGCCTGTACAGAGGTGATTTAGATGTTAAGGGGAGAGAGGTTCAGCAGTTGAAGAAGTAGAGAAGTATAAAGAGGTGCTCAGTGTGTGTGTTTGATTAGGCCACCTGTGTTTGGCAGCTGGCAATTACTAAAATTAGGATATCCTCCCAGAGCCTGGGAGGCAGAAGCTTTGTCTTCTTTAGTATTTATATTTAAAAGAAATGGTTCTCAGGTCTGTGAGAAGCATCAGAGTTGCTAGCAATGTACTTTCTAGGAAAGTATTGAGCTTTCTCTTGTTATGGAAGGCTGGAGTCATCCTACAAGTATGTGGTTTTGTTGCTAGAAGCCATACTAGTTTACCAAGTACAAAACTGTTGTCCATCACTGTTCATTACAATAATTGTATCCATGTGGTTTGGGGTTGTTAAGCACTGCCAGCTAGCCAGAATTAGTCAAAACTATCATTGCCTTTATTGTGAGTCAAATACCATGCCACCACTGAATTCAGCGATGCTAGTGTATTCC